AAAGAAGTTATTAGAATTATAAGCTATGTGGAAGATTATTTACGGGGAGAAGTTCCAGGATCAAGGAAGAAGTGAAGCATTCAGTGAAGGAAAAAATAACTGTGATTGCGTGAAAGGATAAAGGATGAAGTTTTGCCGTAATCAACCCCTTTTTGAAACGCGCCACACATTCAACTTCTACTCAGGATCGTGGTTGCTTATTGAATGCGATACCGAAACCGATACGAGATTCTGAACCCTGCACCACGCGCGCGGTAAGCGTGCCACAGACCACTACACCACCCCCCCCCTCAATTTTGAATGATAGGAATGATAGCAAAAAATAAAGAGACAAAAAAGGAACAATGCCAACCTCGCATTCATCAAGAACATATCAGCACGGTAATGTGTCACTCTTCCTTCGACAATGGCGACAATTGCAGGGAGACGTGAAATCCGCAATTTCTCCAGTAAATTCCCATCAGTCATAGCATTGACGGCTCCAATACCATAACCTTAACAAAGATACGGCTTAACCTACTCGGAACCAAGCAAAACATCTTGAAACAGACCTAAAGGCTCCAGATCTTCCGAAACTGATTTCCACTGTGCTTGCAAACGGAAGCACAGCTGGCAGTAGTTGGAATAAGCATAAAGGAGGAAAGGTTGGTAATGACTTCTGAAAAAATGCAGTCCTTATAAAAGAAAATGAAAATAATAAAGCAACAATGGTGAAAATAAATACTACCTCTCCAAAATATTGTGGGTGTACTGTCGAAGAGAGATCCGCTGTTTGCCGAAAATTCCGTCCTCGTAGCCTCCAAAGCCACCGAACTAAAACAGGGGGCTTGTAGTGGTCGCATACAGCAGCACACAAACCCTTCGAGAGCATTTCAACATTAGTGAAGAAGCGCCGGATAATAGAATACAAGAGATAACCTACTAGCCACTAGAGCAGGGATATCCCCCTGGCGAAATTGCATCCTAGAATTCAAAACTGCTTTCTGCTGTGCGGATGATGGGGCGTGTCATTGAGGCTGAGTTTGGCGCGCCCCCAGACCGTTCTCCACCAGTTCTTGAAGCGGGTAAGCGGTAAAAACCAGTGGTAAACAGGCTGGCAACGCGCCACACCCATCCCCCTTGACACGCCTCATCATCCACAGCGAGCAACCGTTGTTGCTTTTCGACTGATTCATGTTCCGACATAGATAGCACAATAGTATTCCCTGGATTGAAGAGCCCTGGTGCGAATGACACGCAAGTGTCGCCATTTGCAACATCGTGTAATCGCACCGCGGATCTCCCAACTGGCACACTTCCTACCCATGAGCACATGTATTTTGAGAGGCTCATTTCGAAGAATCACTACAAAAATTCTGTTACTTACGAAGTGTTCAAAGCCGCCAAATCCATGGTGCTGCGGTCCCGATTGTGGCGTTTCGTCAACAGCTCCGAATTTATCGTAGCGTTCTTTTCTCAGTGGATCGGAAAGAAGCTCGTAGGCTCGACTTATCGCAACGAATCGTTCTTGTGCTTCTGGTGCGGTGTTCTTGTCCGGATGCCTTCAAAATTATCTATGAATATATCAAGGATCTGAAACTCGCGTAACACAAAGCTTTCCCACAAGGGCCGCCAAAAATGCAAAATTGAAAAAGAGTAGTTCTTCGGTTTCAGAAGCGGCCCACTTTCCAACGAGGACTTATCTCAAGGAATTATCCGTTTTAGGAACAATGTGACCTTGCAGAAGATAAAAGAACCATTGTGCTAGTGTGAATGACCAAGCGAATCACTAAAACAGCGCTCATCCTTCGTGACTCAAGCGATTCCCAAATCGAGCGATTGCGACCGACCATGCTTCACAGCTAGTCGTTGGACCGATGTAACTGCTAATGCGACTACCTTCAGAAGGCTGCGTTCCGATCGCATTCAACCACTTCCTTTGACCGTTTCAACTGGTCACTGATTAGCAGTAAATCGTGGCCGGATAAGTTGCACGTTTTGGAAGTGCACGTGTCGCGAGGCGCGCGCAGAATAAGACTTATCATGTAAGGGCTGCATTCATACTTTTTGTCGACGTTTTAAGCGTTTTGAGCGAAACGCGAACGAGCTAGCGCCACTGTTACAGCAATGAGCTTCCCAAAATGCTGTAACGCTGGCCTTTCCCCCAAAACGCTAGAACGATCCCTTTAGTTTCCTTTCCATCCAAAACGCTCACGCTCACGGCTGTGTTCATACTTTTATGCCGACGGAAACTCTGAAGTCGGGTTTGTTATGATAACTGCCATTTAACGCCACAGCACGCGTTCCGAATGTTATCACAAGAATGCTGAGTTGTGGGCAAAAGTCGTGCCTCCGCAAAGGTTAAGTTTACCTCCGCAAAGCGTGAGGTTTGGGTTCGACTCCCGCCTAGGACACGACTTTTGCCCACAACTCAGCATTCTTATGAAGTCAGTCTTTTGCTGGTGGCCTACGCACGTCAAGAACCTTAAAGACACTGAGAACTGAATCAAAACTCACCATTCTTTGGCAAGCTGCTTATATGCTCTTTTGATCTCTTTAGCAGTGGCCCTTCTTGAAATGCCAAGCGTTGCATAAGGATCTCGTGGATAGTCCGATCCCAGAACTATGACCAAGAGCGCACATAGCGGCAGCCACAACCGCATTACACGCTGATTTAGGTTTTCAACCAAGATCCAGAGACGGCTAGTGTCTGCAAAACGAGAATGACAATTTTTATTGGCTGTTGCATGAAACTGTGGGTGATCGAGTTCGACAACAAACAATTCGAACGAGAGCAAGTAAGTAATCGAATAGAAGTCACATCGGATAGCAAAGAACGACCGCTCCACGTCGGCGCAATTAGTGGAAGCGCGAAACATGGCACTTGCGAACATGGCACTGGCGTTTACTGAACATCCACACTGCCGAAAAAAAACTTTGAGGCTATTCATTATGGAGGATTTATATGTCGGAAGTTCAGTCTAGCACCTGAAGCAACCAGTCCAGCCCATTTACATCTTTCGCAGCAGAAGCTGTATCTATAGCCTTTTCACAACGCAAGCAATCTTATTTGGCATTATATGTGCTTTACACCCCTTACCCCTGAGACGGAGTAGGCGTGGCATTCAAACATGGCGCAGAACGGTTCACTCGTGGGCTCTTGTTCTGAGGCAGGACCCTAAAGGCAGTTGGCACGATAATTTGGTACTCAGCCTGAAATGCTAGCAGGGCGCTATCTAGTGGGGAAAATGGCGAAAAAACGAAGTGAAACGGTCAAAAACTGCGAAGAAAAGCCTTCGTTCTTGAAAAGCAATTTCGGACGAGTTTCCCGTAGGCGTATTGCAAATAACCGCTCCGGCAGGTACGGCTGCATGTATGTACTCATATATCCATTCAGCACCGCAGCCGCTTCATACTAATCCCTTCGCTTTATGTTTTACTCAGCAAATGAAGCAAAACGAGCATCTGGTAGGTCGTCCATTGTGGGCGGGCGGGCGTGGCGGGCGTTTGGGTCGGAATGTTGTAGCTTGATAGGACCCTTATAAGGGTACCTCCCTAGGAAAAAACCGCTATGCAGCGCCTACTCAGGGTCGCGGAAATCCGTCCTGCCAAGCGTATCATCCTATCTACCTCAACTGCCGTTAATTGTGTCAAATGACAATATCTCTCCAAAGCCACAGTACATCAGACGCAAGCCACGCCCACTACAACTCAGGGATTTCGAGTGTATTTACTTGCATGGAGTCATCGGAGGTTGGTCCTCTATTTGGATACCAAGCCTTTCTAAAAACAACGCTTGCATTAAATGTGGACCATGGAGCGACTGCAAGAATTGGCTTTTGCAAACGTGTCGGATGTAAGGATTGACAGTCGCACTCCTTTTTCTAAACTTAGAAATGAAGCTCGATGTTGGAATAAAATTTGTGAAACCCATCAAATAAACATCTATCTACAAGATACCCACACAGGACCTAACGTAATGATCTCCTGGCAAAATATGACCTCTTCTTGGTGTGATACCAAAAACAACAGAGGAACTTTGACCAGAAAATCATACCATCATTAGGATCTTAAATATTTGAACTGGGCACGTGAATTCGGCGCTCCTTCACAGCCAGACCAAAGTTTGCTTAGGCTGCTATCAGTTGAGGTTGGGCGCTATTTGGGGAGTAGCTCTGCTACACTACATGCAGAATTACATCAACTAAGAATGCTGGATGTGGTCAAAATTCTACTCCATGAACAGCTTTAGCTGGGGTCCGGCCTATAACATCAAAAATAATTCAAATCAATGGAATCTGTAAATGAAACTCCCGAAGTGTTCAATATCACAATAATAATTCGAAAAAAAAACTTAAAAATGAGTTGAAGCTTCAAATAAAAGAGAACAGAAGTTACAATGATTCAAGAAATCGGCTGAAGTGAAGCGACGAGAGCACCCACTTCACTCCCGAGATTCCGAGGTTCAAGCCACAATCCACCACCCCTTGGTAAACTAATCAATAACCCGACAGCGATGCGCTGTTGCCCTCAATTCGCCCGAGGAAATCCCACGTTACTTTCGCCTTTTCCTGCTCCCGCTTGATTTTGGTTCCTTTCTACGTTTTGGCAACCTTGAATGATCAGATTTTACTCATTCCAAGTCTTATCAAAAAAATATTCAAAAACAGGAAAAGAACAGCAATAATGCGGAAAAAATAACAATGATAGAAAAAATAAAAAATCCAACAAATCACGTAATTTTTTCACGATGTAGGGAAATAATGGCGAACGGAACATTTAATTCGATATCCCCCGCTTCTGCGCCACCAAAATTTTTGGGAGAAGTTCGCAATATAGCGAGTAGGGGGAGAGGAGGTTGTACTGGGGGAGCAGAGCTGGGAGGAGTCGTAGGAGTGTGCACTGGTATCACGCCGTTCGCACTATTTTCCGATTTCCCGCTGTTAACGCCGCTTGTGAGGTTGCGTTCATAGTTCGCTATCGAGCCCTGCAGATCGATCGCGCTAAACCGCTAATAGTTGGACCACTTTAACAGCTAATAATAATAGTCAGGATAGAACTTATTTCAAACTTTGCAGTGGTCCAGTGATTAGCGGCGGAACGCGGTAAGCCGCACGTGCGCAAAAGAACCGTTCGAGACATGAAGTATGAACGCGGCTCAACTGGAATTCACTAATATGCCCTTCAAGGGAAATAGCGCCATAATGTGGACTCATTCCGCCTAGCTCCGAATCTTCGAAACAAAAGATACCTAGGCTCATATCACAGTTAGTGACCAAAACAACCTTATCATCCAGAGACGACTTCTCCGGCGGATGAGAAACAGGGACACAACTGACCAGGGAAGTCCGCCAACTTACCATGGAACTTTGAATGGAGACCTGGGTAGATCGATAGTCTATAAGGTTATTTACAAATATAGATAGCAAAACTGCAACCTGCATTTCACAAGCATGAGCAGGTACATTTCGTAATGGTGCAGTAGGGTGGAGGCTTGGTGGTGAGCTGTGAAGCATAAGCGAGGAATCGCATACGTCGAATCGAGTCGTCGAACGTCGAACCTTACCACTGAACCACCACGACTCGATTCGACGTATGCGATTCCTCGCTTATGCTTCACAGCTCACCACCAAGCCTCCACCCTACTGCACCATTACAAACTTTACCTGCTCTGCTTGTGAAATGCAGGTTGCAGTTTTGCTATCTATATTTGTAAATAACCTTATAGACTCTATCGATCTACCCAGGTCTCCATTCAAAGTTCCATGGTAAGTTAGCGGACTTCCCTGGTGAGCACTGTACTTAACACTGGGAAAGATGTTTATGGCTGTGTAACGAGAGTGAAACGAAGTGTAGTCTGATAGTCGCAGTAGTGAAATAACCGTTTTCTCTTTTACGGCTTTTGTAAAAACAGTTCAATATGCAGGAAATTTATTAACAAAGTACATCAATATTAAATTACATCAATCGTCCAGAATGTCGAGATGGGATTAGCAAAATCACCCGAATCAACCGGCATCTGTGTGATTCTAAATAACTGGGATATAAAGAAACTGATAATTTAAGTAGTTAAGCAACTATGTACATTAAAATAAAAGGCAAAGCTCGGTCAAACCTTCCAAAAAGGATCCACGTTCAATTAGTCTTCTGGTCTCGCTTACATCTCGGATATGTCAAAACCACTAGGAATCAGTAACAAGGAAGCTTTTGAGGGCGAAACTTACTATCTACAAGTTTTGCTAGAGCGCGTTCATACTCTCCAGCAGATCGCATGCATCGCGCGATCAAATCGCTCGAGTCGCGCGACAACGACCGAAGGCGCTCCACCGCTAATTGGTACATCGCCGCCACAGCAGGATTCAACTGTACAGCGTTCATTTACAGAATGTAATGTATCGCTCGAGCGATCCAATCGCGAAGTGTGAACGCGCTTCTGTAGTTTCGTGTGATGTAACCCAAGACCCACTAGGAAAAGAAACAGCAAGCAGCCGCCACAATACATAAACGCCTTTAGGTATATGCTGGAGGCTGGTAAATGGCAAGTAAGTGAGCATAAGCAGTTTTACAGCGGCAGTTCCATAGTATCTGAACATACTGGCCCCAAGAAGCTGCAGCTTCATGAAATGGACCACACCCAGTGCTCCCAAAAATCAGTATCTGACCAAACTTTGCACTTTAGTGAAGCAAACCACCCTGCAAGGTACTTTACATGACTTCAAGGACTAGTGTTGAAAGATAAGCAATCACAAAGTGATAACACAGATCACATATCCATAAGAAATTTCTCTTTGTATAGGGCTCTCGAACATTGCAGAACAAGGTTCGGAGCAGAACCGATATGATGTAAATCCACTTGTACGAAGAATGGTGTAGCGATGTTAAAAGCAGCTGCAAACTGTTGATTAGCCTGAAAGATACCAATATTGATTCAAGTGAATGGGGTTATGGTGCAAAAGAAACCAAACATACGGTAGAAGATAAATGGTGAGCTCGCGACTCGACTACTTATGATTCTGGCACGGCTAGTACAAATATGAAAGGTTCGAGCTATCTTAGATTTATGTAAACCATTTTCGCTTTTTCGCTACGCTCAAATCAAAGTCAATACTACAGATCACACTAGTCACTACTGCAAGTCCACCCACTATGAAGCTCCGCCCCTTCGCGGAGACCCCGCCCACCTCCGTAAAATGCCTCAGAACACAGGTTAGTCTCAACTACACAGTCGGTGGGAACGGGGAAGTTGTCAGACACCTTCAAGTAGACCACAACTAGAAAAAAATTGATGTTAGAAGAACTATCGCGATAACCGATGGGCAGGAAGTTAGCCATCGAGTCTTGCGCAGTGACGCGCTCCTCCCCTTCACCGTATCGAAAGAGTATAAGGAGCGTGCTAATGGGGATAGCACAATGCTATTTTATCTCTGCGAGTGTATGATCAAAGGCTCCAACTGCTCACTTTGATAGACGCAATTTCTTTGAGGCCATGGATTCGACTATTCAGAACAGGGGCATTTTCGGTGGCTCTTGGTAACTGCGATTCTCCCATCGTCTGCTGCATCAGATACAACTCGAGAATCGTTAGAATTGCTCTGAGTCTGTAATAAAGTTGTTAAAGGAGTGAAAAATAGTAATAAAACAGATTTTAATAAGGGATTACCGAGGAGAGTGAGCCGTTTTTTTGCTAGTTATCAGATTTGTAATGAAACTGGACTCATCCTTGGCGGCCTGTAATAGAAAAAGCTATCAGTACGTCGGAAGCTATTTTTGATGAACTAAAAAGCCATTGAACAGGTTCTTCAATATTTCCAAGTAAATCGAAAGGACTGAGCGGAGCAACCATTTTTATAACCCTTAGAACGCCTACCTGTAGAATAAGCGAGACTTCAACGAGTGGTAACGGCAACTCGATGACTATCACTGTCACAGCTCAGATAACGGAGCAGCACTAAGCTTGCAGGGAACGCCCTCTTCTCAGATGTCGGAGACGTGTAGCCCCCATTCCTGATGGCTGGTTTGCTAGCGTGAGGAGAGGTAGGGAGCTAGCAGTACCAGCACTACGATAGCACTACTGCACTGCAGTATATCCTGTGAGAAAGGCCGGATGTGCATATCTTTGCTGAACGAGGGATGCATTCTGGTGAGTAGCATTCTCTTCTTATGAGCTTAGCGCTGATCTGTCATCTGAGCACGGAATCAGGGGATGCTTTATGCTGGTCCGGACACCTCGCACATCGGTAAATCTCCAGCGAGGGGTGGGACAGAGATCGTATTCGACCCAAGGATTTGTAGAGAGTTAGTTGTTTGATCCCGTTTCACGCGCACGATGCTTATCATTGGGAGAACTCCAATGCGGAGAAGGTGGTATTCGTATTCGTTCGTCGTTGAAAGGATGGAGGGGGTGGAGAGTGGGAGGGGGGTAGGCGGGACGTATGTGCTTTCGAAAGAAATTTTGTCGAGTTGGAAAAATCTCAGTTGTTAAGTTTTTGATTCTTTTTGGTTTGTAGCACTTTATCCCCCTCTGCTTGGCGGAACTTCTTTGGGGGAAAATCGAAAAATTTTCTGGAAAGTTGAGAAAAAGCGGTGTAGGAAGTTGGAAAAGGTCAGTAAGATGGTAGGTAGGACGAGAATGAGGGGTCGTACCAGAGAAGGAAATTGGGAGAAGAGTCGTGTTTCCCGAAAACTTTCTCCAGCGGCAGGAAGTGCCCTGATGCTGGTTGTTCCAACGTTTTCTCAATCATTTTGTTACCGCAACAACTGGATAGTCAGCCATTTATATTACCTTATTCAACCATCGCATGAAGGATGGTAGCCGATCATCTAGTGTAGAGCCAGGGTTGGCATGAGCCGCAATGACGGAATCAGCCAGCCATCGGACTTCTTGCCAAATCAGTAGCAAGAACGAAGCTTCGCACCAAACATGCCTCAAACTCAATTTTTCTCATGGAGTAGTAGGCCTTATAAAACCCACAGGACACATACTTGGGTTTGATACTGGTGATGAAATCCATGAAGAGCCGAAGTAACGTTACTGGTCGGTCGGCAAGAATCTCAACAACCAAGCTGTTGTGAGCATTAGCGGATGGGCTTTGTTGGAACTGTAAAAACGGGAAGCGTTCAGTAAACCCAGATTACCGTATCGTTGGTGGACGTCACGAACCTTGAAACACTCAGCAAATAATCCCTAACGGTAAGGGAGAGACTTGCAGGACATAGCGCCCATTCCATCAATTCAGCCCATGAGAAACAAGTTCCTGAAACAGTGCAAGGTGCAATTCAACCGCTTCAGGGAAAACTGGCTAGCTCGTGATCCACACTCACGTTTAAAGTACGCCCGTATAGTCTTCTCCATCACTTTCAATGCAGTTGCTATCTGGTCCGAATTGAGTGATCCAATTATCGTATTCAGTGACATTAGTACTAGTGGTGACTCAACATTCGCATCAATATAGGAATTCCACGTTGTTACCAGTGATTCTGAACCGATATTGCTAATCAAGCAAAATTCTGTCAAGGGTCAGGAGGCTCGAGTTGCGGCGGCGAGTCAAAAAGCGGTACATTTATTTATTTATTCGAGCATATTTCATTTGTTTGCACGCAAGGGGTGTCATGAAAGCAAAGATCAAAAACTAGCACATTAAGCTACGGCGCAAGAGAAAGACAGCGCGATTTTTCGCAGGTCGCGGAACTCTACTCATTACACCAAACTCTAGAGCGCGTTCATACTTCGAGATCCGATAGGCTGGATAGCTTGGATCGCAAAGCTATCGGGTTGCGAAGTATGAACGCCCTCTAGAGTTTGGTGTAATGGAGAGCTATGTTTTCTTGAATGGAAACTAGAAATTACGAGTCCGAATTTTTCTTCCCATTATTTGGTCGAACAAAAATATAGCACGGCTAATGGCTCACCTCCAAATTTGTGATCCGAAATCCTGCTCCACACGACTGTAAGTTCTCTGGCGACAACGGAGAACGCGCGCAGATTCTCTGAAAACCAAAGTTAAACTCTGTTAACCAGCAGTAGAATGACTGCGCTCGAATGATCAGGTCAGCGGTGGAGTTATTTGCCACATAAAAGCCGACTTATATTAGGTTGGCGGGAAAGTTCTGTCACTTTTTTTTCAAACTAGACTTTCTTTTTATAGAGAGGCGTACAAGATCAAAATTATACAGCAATGTTATTGAGAGATCCTTGCCAGTTTTTGGGCAGTTCGTGGATGCCATCGCTTCACAATGCACGCCGGCGCGACGCAAAGTTGGACATCATCTCAACTTTGACTTGGGCTCAAGTCGTGGAGGTTTTCTCGGCCGTATAACGGTTAAATACGGGAAGGTTAAATAGCTCATAAAGAGCAATGTCTGGACTACACCGGTGCAAGGGTAGAGCCGTCCAGCTCTATAGCATGGCTTCGGCTCGAACTTTTTTGGACGGAGTGGGCCACACCAGCACGTTGAAGACGGACTGTGCCGGCGAATTTTTTCCCTCTGCTTGACGGTTCGCTTCAGATCTCGTAGCTGCTTTGCGTACGCATCGACCGAGGAGGCAGCTTCTTCATCCAGTAGTTTCCCGGCCTACAGCTATCTCAAGGTAAGGATCACAAGTACTCCCAAACTTTCAAATTCGTCATTACAAACCGTAGGCCTCCACGCTCTGTGGAGCGCTACCGTCGTAGAAGATCGTCTGATAATTGGAGACATTGTCCTTATGCAGCTCCATTATTTCGGCGTCGACAGCTGTCATGCTGGTGCCAGGGTGGTAGAAGAAAGAGTTGAAGGAAGCGCTTGGAGGGTCGTGCCGAGGGAGCGGATACATTCGAAGCAGCGAAGTCGGAGCCAAGTGATACGCAATGAGAAGACCAATCCTCGATCGTCATATTACTGCTCACGTTACCGGTTAACGTCTCAGGTAATAGGCAAACACTTGTGTTCAAAAAAGTATGACAAAACTTTCCCGCCAACCTAATATAATCCTTTGAGAATGTTGCTTTTGCGAACTTCTCAAAAATAAGAAGCAAGCAATGAAGAAAATGATTCGCACTGAGCTCACGACAAGTATATCCGAAAACTAGAAACGTCAACAAGGGTCAGACAGCGTTCGTACGACAGCAGTGGCGATCGCGGCGATCGCTACGATCGCCGTGATCGCCGCTGCTGTCGCGAAGTATGAACGCAGAAAGAACCCCATGGCAACGTCGATCCTTACGCTTTTGGGCAGGTATAAGCCTTCCTCAACCCCATCCCCACTGACTCGACTCGTAGAATGCGCCTTCGAGGCAACGGATCAGACCAGAATAAAAGAAAGGAAAAGGCTCTACACAAAGCAGCAAAAATCCTCATCCAATCACGGATGGATTCACAGGCAACATATCACTTTTTTTGCACATCAACTGACCGCTTATCAAAGGGTTATTATCAGGAAACTAGTCTATGCAAAGCGTCTTTTTTGACATTTAACTGCAATATACGGAAAACAAGGCGGATATGGTGCAGTGGCGAATGCTCGCGTTAACACGCGCGATCTCACAGTCAATCCTAGATCGGCTTCTGCCCAAACCAACCAACCTTTCTACCCGGGGTGACGATGAATGCCACATCCCAAAAACGGTTAACCACGATGATGACTTTATCGTTCATAGAAATAAACATCACCCACCATGCTGTTTTGCCAAAGCATCAACATCGGCGATTAGCGAGCTGTACGCAGGAGGTGCAGCAGTGGCACCACCACGAAGCACCAAAGCACATTCCGTTCGCAACCAAGCCGTCTGTTTCAATAAGGCCACAGATGTGAAAGGATCGCGGACGAATGAAGCAGCAAATTTTGCGCGGCAGTATCTGTAAGGAAACAATAGCTTATGCAACAGAGTGTGTACGCGCTAGCCAATTAGGTTTGTACATTGAAACTTACTATTTTTTTTTGAAGGAACAACGAAGAAATAACTGATTAATACTCACATTTGCAGCACCCCCACTACATCTGTAGGATTGGTGAGCGAATCGTACGGGAGGCACACGGCCACTACTTTGGCCAGCTCTTCAGCACGTTCTGGTGATACTGCTGACCAGTCATCACGTTGTGACAGCATTTTAACTAGATCAAGCATAGAAGCGCGTACCTATAAAAAAGCGCTTCCACTGGGTCTGAAGGAGTTTAATAACATGCAAGATAGCTCACTTTAACATAATTTGAAGCCGTGGATCCAATACGTACTAGAACACCGAATAAAACGGAAAGATACTGAGGCAGAAGCTCGCTGTGGATCTGAAAGTCAGAAAATAGAGCAGTTTCGCGCCGCAAAAGTTTACCCATTTACTACACGATTTTTAGATTTCGAAAACTGCGAAGAAAAGCCTTCGTTCTTGAAAAGCAATTTCGGACGAGTTTCCCGTAGGCATATTGCAAATAACCGCTACGGTAGGTACGGCTGCATGTATGTACTCATATATCCATTCAGCACCGCAGCCGCTTCATACCAATCCCTTCGCTTCATATTTTACTTAGCAAATGAAGCAATACGAGCATCAGGTACGGTCGTCCATTTGTGGGCGGGCGGGCGTGGTGGGCGTTCGGGTCGGTATGTTGTAGCTTGATAGGACCCTTATAAGGGTATCCTTCTAAAAAAATCGCTGCGCAGTGCCTGCTCAGGGTCGCGGAACTCCGCTCTGCCAGGCGTACTAATCCTACTCGTCTTTAGTCGTGTCAATCCTTTAAGGCCAGCGGCGCTAGTGCCAGAACACATGAGACCACCACATTCGTTGAAACTCAATCGTATAGGAAACATTGCCCTCCGAGCACGAACCTCACAATCACTCCGAGCGAAAACATCTAGCGCTCGCGCTACTGACGTCCACCCGCTACACTTGCTAACTTCCGGACCGCAGGTTCAAGGCATATACGCGCCAAACGGCTGCCATAACGGGTTAAAACTAATGGTGGGGAAGGATTTGCAGCAAATCTGGTGACCTGAGGTAGAAACGAGTGTTGGAGCGGAGGGAAAGGAACAACCAAATCGTGT